GTCAGTACAGGAGGGGAGAAGGAAAAAGAGGATGGGACAGTGAGAGAAAGGAAGTAGAAGTAGCTCAACAGGGAGTTATTTCTCTGTCTCTGTGTTCTTTCTACAATGCTAAGTACAAAGATGACAAGAAAAGAGGAACAAGAAAATGAGAGAGAAGTGTAGGTGGGAAGTGTGAGTTGAAGAAGACAGGAAGGGGAAGGGAAGGAGAAAATGTTTAGTTAGGAGTTGTGGGGTGGGGGTGAGAAGAAAGAGAATGAGAAAGAGAGAGAGAAATTAAGAGAATTAGAAGAGAAAGGATTCAAGTGCCTAAGCAGAGCTGAAGAAGAAATGCATCTGTACTAGTCTTTTTGGTAATGGTGGAACACACAGAGTTTGAGTAATGGTGCTGTGGGATGATGGGGATTGTAGTCCCAATCATTTGGAAGCCACAAGTTTGGGGAAGAATGGTTTATTTTTACTAGCAGCAGCTAGCAACAGCCCTCAGAGTGTGGTGGAGTCTCCTTCTTTGGAGGTCTTAACAGAGTCTGGATGACCATCTGTCAGGGATGGTTTGATTTTGAGTTCCTGCATGGCAGGGGGTTGGACTGGATGGCCCTTGTGGTCCCTTCCAACTCTATGATTCTATGATTCTATGCCAAGTGTCCTCCCTCTGGCCAGAATCTTGTAACCTGATATTTTTGGATATTCAAGGACTGAACCTTCTTTATGAAAAATTTGCACTCTATCACGGATGTATGGAATTGTTCCCACATTCTCTGTTCTGAATTCTTACATAGCTGCTGTAATACTCAAGGATATGCTTAGGAAATGACTTGGGAAAGATTATTCTCACCTCTCCACTGCAACAAGCCTCATCTTTTCCAGTTAGTGAAGAAGATCAAGTCACTTCTGGTAGCCACTTTCAGGTCTGTAGCTCAATGAAGGCTGGTAGCATTGTAAACAGAATCCCTCTTTAATGCATGTATCTTCTATGTTCCAAAATCATGTTTCTTTTAAAACTGCAGGAACTCATAACATATAATTGCTGCCTTGCTTTTCAGCCATACAAATGGCTGCATTTTACCATT